ACACATTTCCTCTGCTATTTGTCTTGATGTTGTCCGTATGTTTCTTCTGCATGTTTATATGTCAATCATAACAACATTTTTGGTTGGAAGAAATCTGTCACAAAATGGCTTCTTAAAAAGCGGATCGTTTCTGTCAGTTTTGAGACTCTTGTGTAGCGGAGACTTATGGAGTTCACCATTGTTATCTCTCAAACAAGCTTGACAGAAGACTTGACGCTAATCTCAGTAAATGGCATATAGTGTTTTGTGACATCCTTGCTGTGGTCATTTGGTTTAGCATCCTCTGGTTATTTAGTTTTTGTATTTTGTCTCGGTAACGCTAGCCCGGCGTGTGGTGGTTTGTGTAGGCCTGTATTTGTGTACTGCCTGCAACAATCGCGCTATTGACAGCTGTATTTACATGAATCTTGAGCGTTTGGTAGATTTAGCTAGTAAGCAGTGTCAGGATGAAATGCAGCAGAGATTGAGGAGTGGCTGCTGACAAATAGATTATGTCACGGAGAACAATACAGCGCTGCTCGTGTGGCATGAGGCTGCCTGGAAATTATACAGCATGCAGACGTGTAACGATACAGAAGGACAGGAACAACGCCTCACAATCCGGGACAGTCCCCGTACAAGACGGGATCAGTGTCAAGAAAAATTTGACTCACAATTATTGTGTTTTGGTCACCATCTCCATGGCCTGCAGCTGTGCTCCAATGAGCCATTTTATTGTGTCTATGCAAATGTTTTGAGGGCCAATTTTCAAAACTGACACTTTAACTTTTAAAAATGTCATTTTAGTTTGCTAATCTCCCATTAGCTTAGAGAACCCCATTCTTCAAGTGTAGGAACTGAGTTTCAAATGTTCTTACTTCCTGAGAACTTTGGAGCACCTTTTAAACTTTTAAACACCTTAAAATCAGAATGTCGGCTCAATAACAACAACTGATTTTAAATGAATGAATTCTAAATTGAAATTGTTTAAAATAAATGCTGTATTCTAAACAAATAGCATGTACAAGAACAAATCACATGTTAAGGAAACATTTCACATGCATCATAGCACAACAGAAAAAAATAAATCAATACAAATAAATAAAAGAGAGGGCACATTAGTTGCATTAATTATACTATATAATGATTTAAATTTTTAATTTACATAAGACATTATGATAGAATTATATTAAAATGCACATGGCCGATTAAGCACCATTAAGCATTCTTTTTATATAAAAAATGTTAAAGGAAGAGCATATTGCACCTGTTATAGATGCTTTACTGTTTTTTGATTGTGACATATGTGCATCTATGCACATTTTAACCTCTTCTCAAGTACTTTAAAACTCTACATTTGCATTTATGCATATGGAATATACACAAAAATAAAATGAATAATGAAACCAGGATAATTTGAGTAATGATAATTTACAGGATAAATGAAATGCTTTTAAAATATTGTCAGCGATAAAACATTTTTCCAAACACACTGGGCGTCTTGGTAGGACCAAAACAAATGGGAAATTGTTTCAATGGAACTTTTGCAGAAAAAAAAAATCACTTTTAAATATTTGTAGAAATCGTCTGGTAGGATGAATTATTTTGAATGAGATTTCTTTATCTTATTTGTAAGGAGGAAATTTTAAGGCAACGTCCAAACTTGAGTCCAGTTTACATTATTAAGGAGATAAAAAATCACAGAAGGAGCGGTTATGCAAGCATCTGATTTTATAGTTTGTAGTAAATGCGGCTGATTCGTAGAGAGAAATGAAATGCATTATTCCCACATGAGGGAGCTCTCTGCAGAGTTGTGACTTCCTGCTTCCCTCACACTTGAAACCCATTCATTCGCTATTACAAGCAGGATAAACAGACTCTCTGGTTCACTCATTCTTGCCTTTCTCTGGACAGCAGTTCTGAGAGGTTCATATTGTTACTGCATAATATATATTAACAGATATTAACATCCATAAATCCAGCCAGTTCTATCAAACCTCTACAATGAATCCAGAACGCGGCAGCAAGATGAATTTTTAATTCACACCTCTGTTTATCAATTTGCACTGGCTACCAGTAGCTGCTC